TGGTTGGGGGCTCAGACAGCGGAGTCGTGGCAGGGCTCGTGTTTGAGAAGCACTTAAAAGTTTGCCCAAAGTTTGGCCATTCAGCAGGCCATGTGCTGCTTGGAATGGATTTTCGCCTCTTGGGCTATGGGTGATGAAACGGGGTCTCCAGTTTGCGGAATCAGCTTTTACCAAACGTGACCCAGCAAGGCCTCGGGCATCACAAGGCCCCTCCACAATATCCTGAACCGCAGACCCCGAGCCCAGGCGGAAAACAATCCCCCAGCCAACGCGCTCCTTTTAATTTCCAGACATTTTCCCTGCGGGAAATAAGGGCGGTTCTGCCCCGGTTGGTGAGGAGGCAGAGGGTTTCATAACTGGAACCGCGGGGCCTTGTTTTCACCCCAGCCGACGGAGGCCTGGTTAGAGCCAGATTCTGCGTGTTGCAAGCTTGCGGGACAATTTGAACCAAGCGCGATATTCTCCAAGAGAAAAAACCGGACCTGTACTCCTCTTAGAGCAAGGTTTTTGCTTGTTTCAATTTTAGGCCATTAGAAGTGAAGTTCCAAGAAGTCTGATCTTTCCATTCTCTAGAGCTGGAGATAGGAAAGAGTTTTGTTTTGCTGTTTTCTTCTTATTTATTACTTTTATTAAAATGATCATTTTTACTTATCCCCCCTCTGGTTAAACCTCACAAAATGGAACTTCATTCCCTGAGGGAGACTCACTTTGTCATTTAAGGATACAAATTCCACACCAGGACAAATCCTAGGAATCTGCAACATTTACTCCCCACCTTTGTGGGTGGGAGGCCTTTTCTAACTCTCTTCTCTGGGGGCTGAAGATTAGGGTGGTTCTTCATCAGGAGTGTTTTGGGGATATCACCTTTAATTCATGCAAATCTTACTGTGAAATTCCAGGCACTTTTCCACCACCGGCCCAGATTTGGTTGGATTGGGAGTTAGACTATGGTTTGGAAATATTGAGATTGTTTAGGGAAAGGGGACAGAGGAGAGAGAGGCCTGCTTGGCTCCTGAGTGCTCTGTGGCCTGGCAAGTAAATGACAGGAGGTCTGAATCTTGGGTAGGGTGAGCCACTCTTGGGCCCAAATGGACTGGATCTACCAGGCTTGGCTGGTGGGCTCATGGTTCTCAGAAGTCAGTGACAACCAGAGGATATAGATTACTCTGGCCCAAGGTCTCTGTTTCTCTCCATGTCTCTGTCTCATGTAGATACTAGCTCTTCCCTCTTCCTCCTCTCCATAGCTCAGGACTGGCCTGAATCCCTGAGCCTTAACAGCAGGCCTGGCACTGTCAGGATCCCCTTCACATGCAAGGGAGTGATCTGTAGTGGTAAAGCTTTCGTAGATCGAGCTCTGCTGGCCCTGAGGAATGCTTTCTGGGACCTTTTGTGGGCACCCACACTTCAGTGGCAATGTAGAGCAGGGAGGTCTCAGTCTGACCTCAGTGGCATCCTCAGCAGGAATACAACGACAAGTGTAGCAGCCCTGGCAGTGTGGGCAGTGGGATGAGGCAGGGAGTATAGAGGTGGCCTTTGGAAAGGGTGGAAGAGTCCTTAAACACTGTCCCCCGCCTACAAACAGAAGAAAAAGAAAGCGAAACCTAGGGCTTTTCTTGCACACAGAGCAGAGCTGCAGGGTGTATAGACCCGGATTCGCGGGCCTAGGATTGGGCCTACAGGCCACTGTATACTGGGTGGCATCTGCCCCTGGAAAGGTGTCAGAACCCCAGCTCCTGGAGGCCAAGCTCCTGACTTCTAGCCACTGTGCTAGGCCGCAGGCCTCAGGGCAGCCCACAGGGTCAGTCCTGGAAATTCATCATTTTCCGGGACAGTGGGGCGCCAAGTACCCAGCCCATTCAGCCAAGTGATTGTGCTCACATTCTGATGTGGAAAGCAAGCTCCAGGGAGTGCCCAGTGCCCAGGGAGGTCATCCCTCTGGTGCTGAATTCCCTTGCCAGCTCCAGCCTTCTCACTAGTGTTTTGGGAGCCTGTGGAGTCACTGAGTTCTTCTGGACAGAGAATTCTTCCCCCAGTTGTAGACTAGGGTGGGGATGGGGGTGGGGGTGGGAGGTAGGGGTGGAGGTTAGGGTTCCCTCCTTTCTCTTCCCTTCCTTCCACCTGTTAAGAAATGCTTGAGTTCCAAGCAGCTTCAGTTGCAGCAAAATACACTGTGAGATCTTGGGAGGCCTGGAAGTGTCTGCAAAACAGGCCCAGATGAGCCAGAAGCCTGTGAGGCCAGGCCTAGGGCTGTAGAGTCTGCTGCACTCAATAGGGACAAAGACAGATGAAACATTTTGTAAGAGTAGTGGAGCAGCTCAGTGGTAACTCTGTATTTAGAAGTGTCACATTAGGTCTTTTTTTTTCCTTCTTAAAAAAATTACTAAAAAAAAAAAAGTTTCACTGAAACATAAGGTTTTGCTGGGGAACCCCGGTGAAGCCAGAGAGTCCGCACTGACCCTGGCCAACTTGGACCATACCAGGGGGCAGCATGGGGCCTCCAGATTTCTCCTTAGCCGGGCACTGCCGCCGCCAGCGCTTTGGCGTTAGTAGCATCAAATCATGAAGGAACTCTCCCTTCTTTAATTAAAAAGGGGAATCTTGGGAAAACTGGAGCAGATTAGCACGGAGAAGAGTTGGTTCCCAGTGATTTATTTGGATGTGTATGTGACAGTGTCTGGATTTCCAGGCGCAAATCGGTCTGTGCATAGGCTCAACTCTAGAAGCCGCTGTGCGTCTCCACGGGAGTTCTATAATCTTGTCCACGTTGCATCTAGCAAATCTTAGCCCAAACATTAAGTTGAATTGTCTGTTGGCCCCAGTTTCCTAGGTACGGGGGGGAAAATCATTTAACCCCTGGAGCTGTCGAGTAACCGCTTCAGCATAGACTCTTATTTTACACGCCTCAATTAAGAGATCGCAAACCCCAGCCGAAAATCTCCAACCTGGGGGAAAGCGTACAGCCAATAAAACTCCGGGTGCTGCGGCCCCAGGGGGTAGCGGACGCTGGCAGAGGCAATCTCTTGTTGGGAAAAAGTCCTGGAGTGACAATGCTGGTCTTGGTTTGGTGGTTATGTTTAATTGCGAAAGGGATAATGATTTCTAATAAAATTGTACGGGCCGAAAGAGCAGCTCGGATAGTAGCAGAAGCGGGGGTGGGGGTGAGAGGCCCCCAGGCTGGACTGCTCTGGGACCCTGCGTAGTTCCGAGCTTTGCAGAAAGCATCTCCCGCGCAGAGGAGGTCGGCTGAGAGGAAGGTGGGAGGAGGACGAAGTTGGGCTGAAGTGGGAGACGGTGGGGCTGCAGGTCAAGGTGGTGGAGCTCCGGGAAGCTTAGGTCCAGCAGGCTGGCGTGCGCTCTAGGAGTAGATTCGCGGCTTGCGGAGGCCTTTATACCTGGGTCGGAGCGGCCGGCGGCCGATTGGGGTACTGGCGAGCAATTGGACTATTGTTGATATGCTAATGAGGCGATTAGGCTGTTGGTAAAGAGCTGGAAAAGGGAAAAGTTTCTACCATTAGAGGGAGATCTCCGAGCGCACACGGGAGCTCTTTCCCTTCTCTCCTCCTCCTAGCCCTTCTCCTCCTCGCCCTCCTCCTCCTCCTT